ATTTCAGGCCTCAAGGTTCAGCCGCCTCGGGACGTAAAGTGCCCCTCGAGCCCCGCCGAAGCGAAGCATGCCGCTTACACACAAACCTCACAGACGCCACAGTGGAGTGGTCCAGCAACACAACGGTGTCTTTCCCACTCACAGTGCACACACACACAATGACAGTCTCACATGCTCATGTCAGAGAGGCACTACGGCATTCACTAAAATGTACACTAAGTCACACCTACAGAGAGGAAAAGAAAAACAAAAGAGCAGCAAAAAAAAAGAACAACAACAGGATACCAACAGCACACAAAGCATTCACAATACAATAATCACAGCTGCCACTCCCATCAGAGAAAAACATTCACCCACACCAGCACATCAACTCAACCCCCAAAAGAAAAAACAAATCCATTACGTGAAGCCGAAGCGGAACAGTCTCAGTCCACCTCCCCGCAGGTTGCAGTCACTCAAACAAGCCACACAACACACACCACAGAGGTAGAAATATGTTCGTGGCAATGCCGTGAGTGACAATACCGAGAGAGAAGGTGAGAACAATGAAATGTGTTTTCATTACGTGGGCGGTGCGGGTGGCAACCCAAACACACAAAGGGGAACACACAACAGATGGACACACTCAAACACCTACAACCCACCATTCTTTATACCAAAATAAAAAAGTAAAAAAAAGAGTGACTGCATGAGGCAGACACAATAATAGAGCAAAGATGTCAAAAGAAAAAAGAAATTCATTACTCAATGTGACTGCCATGCCTGGACACAGTCCAATCCACCCCAAGGTTAACAACGGAAAATCATTGTGTACTGAACGTGCAGTGTCCATATCTTTATTCTTGATGTCCCTGCAGCAGTTTGTATATAATGAAAAAAAACAAAGAATCATTCCATAAAAGTGAACACACAAGATACACAAGGTGTACTGGAAACGCAAAAGAAAGAAACACACAGCTGCACATAATGTGCAATGAAATTATAATGAAACACCACATAAGGAAAAAACAGTATAATGAAAACAAAAAGAAAAAGCCGTGATCTTCACGTGAATATCTTCAGGAGGCACGCAACACAATTCCAAGCAGTGTGTGTGTGTCTTTCGTACAGGGCAACCAGCGGGAATGATGCACACATGATGACAGTCCACACACACAAAGAGAAGGAGGGTTGGTGGTGTGCGCGTTTGTGTGTCTTGAACCTCCTGCTGCCATTCTTCACATTTCAGTCACAGCAATTAAAACACATCGGGATTGTATCTCATTCCCATGGGTAAAAGCAATAGTTAGTAATATCACGGAACACACACACACTTCACCAGGCGGGCACAGTAAATGGCGGCAAAGCAGAGCCCAGATAATAATGCGAACAAAGAAAGTGAACACTCCCCTAACAAAATGATGGTTTGTCATGTGATGAGTGTCATAGGGAGTCCAATAGATGTGTTCAGTAAAAAAATGAAAACAAGAGAATCATCGTGATAGAAGAAAAAAAAGAAACATTAAAATTCAATAAAAAGAAAAGTGCTCTTACAATGCATCCATATCCAGTCAAACAAAGGTTAACTGTGCAACTGTGTCATGGGAACACCAATCAGCAAACGAGAATGCAACCCAGCACACATAGCAGAAGCATCAAGAGTAAGGGATTGTGCACCAATGCAGGACTGAGGCTGCCGTCTTTTTTCTTGGTCATTTCTGCCATCTCTCTCGCTTTTTCCTTTGCTCTTCCTTCTTCAACCAGTTTATCCTGCGCCCCTCTAACCTTTTGGGCCTGTTCGTTTTCTTTTTGTTCCCGTGCTTCCCTAGCCCTCCGGGCCTGCTCATTATTCTCTTGCTCCCGCACCTCTGCATCCTTTTGGGCCTGTTCCTCTCTTTTTCTCTGCTCCTCCGCCTCTGCAGCCCTTTGGGCCTGTTCCCTTTCTATTTGCTCCTGCGTCTCTCTAGCCTTTCTTTCCTGTTCTTCCTTCTCCAGTCTTTTTGCCTCTTCCCTTTTCGCCAGTTCCTCTTCAACCATCTTATTTACTTTGGGCACCATTTCATCCGCCTTTTGTCGTGCCTCTCCACCCCACGCCTTATCTAATCTTTCACCGATTCCCTGGGTTGGTTTCTGCTGTTGTTTTGCAAACGGCAACTTTTTCAATATGCTTTTGAGCTCGGTTACCTTCGCATCGCCCTTTTTTATGACATCTTCTATCTGTAATTTGATATCCTTGTACTTTCCCTCATGGTCGCCACCGAGGTCCTTTACCTTTTTGAGATTCGTAATGGCGGTTTCCATTGCTACCTTCGCGGCCTCCAACGCTTTATCTGAACCCCTCAAGACGAAATTGCTTGTCGCCTCATGTGCCGTGAGATTCCCCGCGAGGTAAGACATCTCTTCCTGTATTTTACTGCAGTTTCTGACGAGCCGCATTCTCTCCACCGTCTCTTCGATGCCTTTTCCGAGCAATCCCGCAAAATAATCTATGTTCGAGGCAAATTGCACCTTCTCGCCATCCCATTCTCCCCTCGAGGACAAACAGTTAATAGCCACCCACCTTGTTTCTTTCCCCAATGTGATCGTCTTTTCGACTGCATCCACGATATCTTCCAACGCACTTATACCACCTTTAATCTCACTTGTGGTTTTCTCAACTGTTTCCCCTCCAAGAGACTCAATACCAGCCAACGTCTTAACAGGCTCACTGGACTTACCGGCGATCGCCGGGAGACCTCCAACACTATTGTTAAACTCCCCCACGACCTCCTTCCATAAAGAGAGACAACCGCTCCCCCGTACGAAGGTAACATACACTCTATCTACCACCCTTGTTAACCTTTCTTCCAGTCTTTCCTCCTCACTCCTTTTGGGTTCCCGTGAATCAACACCTTCTTTGCCCTCTGCATATGAGACGCATACAAAGCATTGCAGAAGTACCAACAGGTACACCACACGGCGCAGTTGGATGGACATCATTGTCATGATTGTCACTGTGGGTTGCTTGGATCTATGGTACCAAGGAAAAAGAGGAAAAAGGAGAAAAGTAGACACACATTTAACACACAAGGTAGTGGGTACACAGCAACACACAAAGAGAGAGAGAACACACATCACAACAGCAATCAAACACAACCCAATGAGGGGAGCCACAGTAAACCACTCACACAATAAAACACACCCAGAGTTACACAAATATTGAAACAACACCTTGAATTTAGAAGTGGAAAACAAATGGTATCAAAACAATATTAAATAAACGTCTCTACACACAATCTCCAATATCTTACTCGGTATTCGTACACACAATGTGTGTCTGTATTCTCATAATAATAAAACCGTTACCAGACAGTTTGAAGACCAAAATACACCAAAAACACAGTGTGCGTCCGGCAACATACAAAAACAATACCACAAATCATCAGCAAAACAAATAGACTGTACAATAATAATCAACACACTTGCAAACAGAAAAAGAAAAGAAACCAATGCATCACCATAATATTTATACCAACACCACAATTGGAATCCAAAACCCACTCACCCACAACCACAACAAAAATGACTGCATACATCACTGTAATACCATGCCACTCTTATACAAACAGAGGCAACACACAATTACTCTCTCACACACACATATTACCTCTTTATTTATCCTTATTATTATTATTTTATTTTTCCTCAGAATGCCAATTCACCTCTTCTTCTTCCACAGCATTATCACCATGAAAAAAAACATCCACCCAAACACACACGTCCTTCACTCCATGGTGTGTATTAGGAGGATATGATCAAACATATCCCCTTCCACATCCCACACCACACCACCACGTTTTTCTTTCTGTTATTCGTCACTTTATGGAAGTTACTCCAATGGAACGGGTCATCAAGAGTAATACATAAATATACATAAATACAATTTGTTTTTATATTATTTTTATTTTTACTACCGTTGGACATGGGGGGCGCGCATTGGTAATGAAATTACAATGGATCTCGTAGGTGGCAGGACATGGATTTTTGTTCGCCTCTCTGAGTCCCCTCAGCTGCCAAATCTAATTTCCACCACTGGAGGGCATGGCTGTTACTATATCTAGGACCCGTGCCTTTCCCCGGCGGCATTCGCACTAAAGTGAATAATGTAAAAGAAACTGCTTCTGATGGTACGCCGGCACGCACCCCAGGACCTTCTTGGATAAAGTTTTGTCCCAGTACGACTCTGCTGATCCCGGTGCTGTATGACGTTTGTAGCTTATTGAACCAGTAAACTCTCAAGAAGAGAATTTGCTGGCCCATGGATTCCCTCAAAATT